CTGCTGGTAGAAAAAAATCTTCAGAAATCATCGGGTCCAAGTGTCCCCTGTCCCCAAGTGTCACATCCACAGGGATTTAAATCCCAACAGGGATGGGGACTCCATTTGAGCATCCCTTCCATGAAGGAATTTTCACAATGTCACCCCTGTCCCTCTCCTGTTCCTTCTCCTCCTGTTCCTGTTCCCTGGAGCAGATCCCAAATCCCCCCGGCTGCCCCTTCTGTCAGGGAATTCCAGAGAGGGWAAAAAATCCCTCTGGATCCTCCTTTTTGCCCCTCAGCCTCTCCTGGAGCTCCAGCCCCTGAGGTGTGAGGGAGAACATTCCAAAGGGAGACCCAGAACCAAGAGATGCTCCATTCTCACCCACACAGGGGCTGGATTGGTTCAAAAAACAACAAAATGTGTAAATATTCCTTTGGGAGATACCTGGAGAGGAGGAGGAGGAGGAAAAAAAGAGGAGGAGGAAAAAAAAGGAGGAGGAGGAGGAAAAAAAGGAGGAGAAGGAGGAAAAAAAGGAGGAGGAAAAGGAAAAAAAGGAGGAGGTGGAGAAAAAAAGGAGAAGGAGGAAAAAAAGGAGGAGGTGGAAGAAAAAAGGAGGAGGAGGGGGGAAAAAAGGAGGAGAAGGAGAATAAAGGAGGAGGAGGAGGAGGAAGAGAAGCTGAACTTGCACCCCCAGCATCCCAAGAGGTGATGGATGCTCTCACACAACCGCTGCGTGTTTGTTGTTGTTGTTGTTTTTGCTCTCCTCAGGTCACAACTTCTGTCCCATGGAATAAACCTGATACCGCCAGAATTCCAAGGGAAAACACCAAATCCTGCCCAGCCACAGGTCCCAAAGGCTGGAAACACCAAAGTTTCTGGCAAACACGGGGAATTGTGGATGCTGTGGGTCTGTGCAGTCACAAGCTCACGCTTTGAGCTGCCCTACTTTGTGCCTTATAATTGACTGCTGTCCCCAAAGGGGCTCCTGGCTCTAATTGAGCAGCATCTGCCCCATCCCAGGGACAGCTTTGGGCGCCCAGTCCTGGCTCTGAGGCCACACTCGACCCCTTCAGTGCCAGCTCTGTGCCCAGCCGTGGCTGTGCCACCGAATTTGGGTYTGTGCCAYCRRATTYGGGTTTGTGCCACCRRAYTYGGGTYYGTGCCACCAGCTGGGGATCTCCTGAACAGGAGTCACTCAGGGACAGCGGTGATCCCACCCACTCTGGGGCTTTTTAAACATCATCCCACTCATTTCCAGCCTACCCCTGTGTGTTTTTTCCTCTATTCCTGCTCTCCAGTGTGACATTTCCCACAGAAAAGAGGGGCGGTGGCAGCTTSCCCCACTTTGGAGAGGCTGGGAGCTCTTCCCTATGGACACACACAGGACCCAGCCCCACACACCGTCTTTGCTTTTTGTGGAAAAAAAAAATGCAAATCCAAAAGCTCCTCCAAACGTTATTCCCTTCCTAAATTAGATTGAGCAATGGATCGAAACCAAAAATTAAAYGCAACCTAATGAAAAGTCAAGTAATGAGTTCAAATCCCAGGGAGCTGCGTCTCTCCTGGCACAGAAGGAAACCAAGGATAGACTTTCCATGGGTTTTGTGGACTTGGGCAARAAGCTGGCGCTCAGTTTTTAATGCATACAAGATCTGCAAAAGATTTAAACTCCTTTGGGGCATTGATTGCAAACCTCATTGACAGAATTCCGATTTGTTTGTAAATTGGACCTACAAAAGCACCACAGCGTTAGTGCAGCTAATCCTTTCTGGTGGGACCTCTTGTTCCATTTCTGCTTGATKATTGTGAGGGAAAACTTCTCAGAGGGAAGGTGAAGGACAGGAAAACATCCTGATTTTCCTGTTATTAATTGGCAGTGCCCACCCAATGCGTAAAGCAACCCTCAGGGGAGTCAGGAGTGCAGTGAGTCCCCCCCATCCTCCCAAAACCAGACACCAGGCAGAGGCCAGGCTTCCAAAATTCCAGCTGATCCCTTTGCCGAATGATAAAACCCGAGTTTCCCCCTCTGGAAGCAGCAGCAGCCCTGCCCATCCCCAGCCCATCTCCCGGGAGCGCCCACGGGCGCCGGCAGCGATTCCCCGGAGGCTGCAGCATAACCCAGAACTGCCTCTCCGCTCATCTCTCCTCGTTTCAACTCGGCTGTGCGCGGCTCAGATCACACGGAACGGCAGCGTGTTCCCGAGGAGATTGTCCTGTCACTGTGGGAACGGGCACTGCCACCCCGCTCGGCTGCTCCTGTCACCACGAGATGCCACCGAGCGAAAGGAAAACTTCCCCTGCTCGCTGAGACCCCTTTTCCTGCCAGAACAACCCCTGAGCTCAGCACGCTTTCAATCCCCAAATCCATCAGGGGCGGCCCAGTTCTGCTCTCCCCGAGCTCCCTGAAATTCCTGCTCAAGTCACGGAGCAATCCGGGATACGGGATCGCTGCTCTTGGAAATCACACGGATGATGCTTCCCGCAAGCAGCGTTTTGTGGGTGAGGCTGATGCTTCAGGGGCGCTCGGGATGGCAGCCTGTGTTTGTGCGAGGGACAGGAGACGGGAAAARRGGATGGGRAARGGRRRRGGTGACACAGAAAGGGAAGGGGAACTGTTCTCAGGAGGTTCCGTGCTGATGGCTCCCAGAGCGCGGCAGCAGTGCTGGAGAATCAGCTCTGACATGCCSATGGTCGACACCTTTAAAACCATTTTTTTTTCCCAGAAATCCTAAAGTCAGGAGATCACGGAAACCTCCGCTTCCATTCCCTAAGCCAAGCGCATCTCTCGGTGTYACCGGGAGTCACCAGGAAATGCTCMCACCGGGTCRGTCGCAGCCTGGAGCCGAAGGCGAGGACAATCCACGCGTTTATCCGGCTGAACCCCGGATTTGGGGCCGCGGCCGGGATTTGGGGCGGGTGCCGGGGTCAGAGCCCGGAGCGCAGCCCCAGATCCGGCCCGAACTCGCGCGGTGCCCGCAACTCGTGCGGTGCCCGGAGCATCCCCGGAGCAACCCCGGAGCATCCCCCGAGCATCCCCCGAGCAATCTCCCGAGCATCCCCCGAGCATCCCCCGAGCATCCCCCGGCACCGGCACCGCCCCCCGGCCCGGAGGTCCCGACCCGAGCCCCCCCGCTCGCCCCCGGCCGCTGACCTGGCGCAGGATGAAGCTGGTGGAGGTGGTGCTGCCGTCCGAGCGCTTGAGGCGGCTGCGGCGGGTGGCGGTGCCCCTTGTCACCTGCCCGGGGGGGACAAAGCATCAGCGCGGTGTGAGCGCCCCGGCCCCGGCCCCGCCGCCACCCCCGGTCCCCGCACGCACCGCGGCCATGGCGCCCCGATCCGATCGCCGCTCCCCGGTTCCCCCGGCTCTCCCCCGGCTCCCCCGGCGCTCCGGGCCGGCTCTCCGGGCGCAGCGGAGCCGCCGCCGGGGCGGAGCGCGCTGGGGAGGGGGCGGCGGGCGGGGGGCGGCCCCGGGGCGGGGCTGGCACGGAAAAAAAATCACAGAGCCCGGCCCGGTCCCGGTTCTACCCGGGATGCGAGAGATGGAGCCCGAGCGCTCCGGGGAGAGAGAGATGGGGATGCTCACCTGGAGAAGGGAAGATCCAGGGAGAGCTCAGAGCCCCTTTTGGGGCCTGAAGGAGCTCCAGGAGAGCTGGAGAGGGACTGGGGCCAAGGGATGGAGGGACAGGACCCAGGGAATGGGGTCACACTGCCAGAGGGCAGGGATGGGTGGGATATTGGGAATTGGGAATTGTTCCTGGGAGGGGCTGGGATGGAATTCCACCCCTGGATCCCTGGCAGTGCCCAAGGCCRRGCTGGACACTGGGACAGAGGGAGGTGCCCCTGCCCATGGAATAGGATGGGATTTGATGTGTTTYCCCCTCCCCAGAGCAGTCTGGGCTGACTGTGATGAGCGGGGGATGAGCTGTGGGTGCCCTGGGCAAGCAGCAGCCTCAGCCCACCCCAAACTCCCCCAAGCAGCACGACCCCAAAGCCCAGGGCTGGCCAGCCCATCCCACACCCCACAGCACCGCCAGCATCAACCTCCAGCCCCGGAGGAGCTGCCATTTCCAGGGCACCGAGGAAAAACGGGCTAAACCAGGAGACGACATGCTGGAAGCTCAAATCCCAGCAAGATCTGGAAGAAGGACCTGGATTTCCTGCTTCCCACTCCTGAGCTTCACCTAGAGGCACATTCCACCTCCCACCGGGATGAGCAAGAGCAGGAATGTGCACATCTCGAGTGAGCTGAGAGCACACAGCCAGCGCTGCTCAGGCTCCAAACACCCTCCTCCCTCGCTCCACACACCAAATCCTTCCATTCCTCGGCTGCAAGGAGCAGCCTGCTTTCTCTGGCCAAGATGAATGTGGGTCACCGAGGCTGGAGTCKAAATGGGATTATTTTTATATTCAGTTTCATGGTTAAATCGGTGCCAGGAAGGCGATTCTGTTTCAACATTAATCGTGGGGTGGCTGATTGCCCAAGGAAAGGTTTTCTGCAGAAACCCCACAGCTGAGATTCAGAAGGAAAAACAAACCAGCTTTTCCCAATAATTCCCCCCCAAAAAAAATTCAGGATAGGATTTGGCTTTACAAAGGTTGACTTCCAGCCTGAAGTGACCCCAAATCAACCCAGTGGGCTCAGCAACTTCAAAGAGCTGTAAAGAAATGATGAAAACACGGTTTGTGTGTAAATGACAATTTTTGGGGTTGTTCCCAGGTACATCCAGCTCCTTGCAGGCATTTTTGGGGTCCATGCAGAGTTCCAGCTGCAGGATTGAAGCACAGGATTCATCCTGGTTTGGGATGAGCCCGAATTCTCAGCCACRATCACTTTTGCCTCTTTTCCCAGGGAATTCTCCCGGGTGTGTTTGGTAACAAATGTTCTTCGTTCCACTGCCACCTCTCTGTGCGAGCAGTGCCTGGAGCTCTATGAAAAAAATGCACAGATAAAAATAAGGAAAAAAAAAAATCATCTTTCTCTCAGGAAATAATCACTGAGAGAGGCCCCAGCATGGAGGGACAGAGTCCTGCATGATCAGGGACATCCCCCAAACCCAACACAATAAACACACAACACCAGCACTCAGAAGGTTTCAACAATCTGATTTTTACCATWATTTCTGGAGCCAGGTCCAGAGACAAAGCGTGGGTGACATCAGGTGACAGAGCACAACCCCTCAGAGCAATCCCTGGGAGGTGACAAATTGAACAGACACGACAGGTCCCCAGCTCACACCAAAGGAAATGGATCTGTTATTGAGATTTAACACCCAAAAAACAAACATATCACCAGGAAAAGTCTCATCAGAAAGTGGCCTGGGTTCCTATGTTAAGGAGTTTTATGAAAAAGCAGGAGTTCTCCACCCTGAATTCCCGATAGAAAACAGCAGGTAGAAACCTAAGGTAGAAATCTGGAGTCAGAGAAATCCTTTGGCAGCATRTTCAGTTACAATCAGGCCTTAAAAATAAATATGATCATGTGTAGAAGTATGAAGAGAAACACCAACCCCCTCCAAATACACCGGTTTAATAATAATTAAATTATTTTACACTATCTACAAGTTGCATATCACGGAGTTAGGAAGAGAAGAGGCGACAGAAGGACAAATCCTGCTTTTATAAAAGTTCAGGCATGTGTGGAGCTGTGTAGAAAATCTCAGACAAATGAGTATGTACATTATTTATACTTAACAATGAACATCATCAGATCACATCTGGCTGGCTCAATGGAAGTTTTCTCTTGGCCCAAAGCTCAGAAGCCAATAAAAAAAACACCAATCTSAATTTCCTACCAAACACGGAGCATTTCTAGGTTTAGTTTGACCACAAAGYGACTTGGAACAAAGTAAATCCCAACAAATAAAAAGCTCCAAACGGTGAGAATTTGGAACAGCAGCATTGAAATCAATCAATTTCCTCAAATAAGGAACAAGTTAGGAAAATACTTCAGTATTGCCACGTGAGTTATCAGTACTGAGATACCTCCAGGAGAAGGATCAGGACAAATTAAAGGAAAGACAAAATCCTCCTTCCAAGTGCACACATTTCAATAAAAAGTGATTCAAAGAGCAGGTGCTGAAGACTTTTTGCATAGCTGCAAAGGAATAAAATGTCAAGAGAGCAAATAATTAAATAAAATGGAAAACAAATGGAGGAGGTGCTGAGTGAAGGGTGGGTTCTGTCACTCAGCAGCCCGGGAGTTCCAATTTGGGATGAAATTTATGCACCAAAAATGTTTATTTAGACATCTGGGAGCTTCCTGCTTTTAATTGAGAYGTTTTTATCAGTGCCTGGCTTCCATCCTTTCCCAAACCAAGGATTATCACTCACCAGAGGTTGTTAAAAGCAGGATAAATATGACCACGCTCCAGTGAGTGGGTAAATAGGAGGATGAAGTGGTTTTTGTTTCAGCAGTTGAAACAAGACAAGAAAGCAATCCCACATTCCCAAAGGATAATCCAGCTCATCTGCTCCCCCAGATAAACCCCACCCTTTTCAAAAGTGCATCAGGGAAGAAATTCTTGGATTTCTTTTCTCGGCCACCCATCCCCAGCTCTGAGGGGATGTGGCTGTGCTTTTCCATGTGTGAGGAGCCCAATCCCACCCCCAGCACGTGGAATGTGCCCAAAATYCCCCTTTCTCTGCAGTCAGTGCTTGTTCAGACACGGACAGAGGGGCAGAGAAAGGAAATCCCAGYGAGGCAGAACCCCCTGGTCCCATGGAGACAATTCCTGTTCCACTCAGCATCCCCTGGAAAGGGAACAGGGCAGATCCTCAGGCTTCAGCAGCTTCAAACATTCTCCATCCCCCTCCTTTCCCACCAGGAGTTAGTTACAATCCTCCTTCACTTCTACATCCATCCAGGAAGGAAAACTGGGAAGAGATTCAGTGCAAGTTCCTGGCTCAGCACCCTGATCCACCGAGTGCCCACACAGGCAGCTGGCAGCATCTCGTGCCCGCTCTTCCAAGGAGGAGCCTGGTGCCACCTCTGCCAAGACACCAAGCAATTCTAGGAAAACTTGTTTTCTTCAAGAAAAACGCAGCAGTTCTGTGAATTTTCCAAAATACAGAGGCAGCACCATCAAACCCCTCTGTTTCTTGCTCGGGTTCCGCGTCCTTCAGCAACTCCAAACTGCAGAGATTCCCTAAAGCCACTGGGATAGAAGGATTACAGGAAACACCAGAGGAGGCAAAGCATCTCAGCATTCTCAAGTTTCCAGAAACACATTGGAAAAGAGAATTATTTTGGGACAATCTTTTCGAGATTCACAAGTGGCGTTTCCTGAAAGCGCAAGGAAAAAAAAAAAAAAAAAAAGGGACTCGGAGGAATCTGGAATTATTTTAAACCATCCCTTAATCTAGTTCAGGATGCAAATATGCAAATAACCATCAGAGCTGGTGCCTATTTTTACTCTGCATCACCCTAACGCAGCGAGTTGGGTTATTTGAAAAGGAAAATGTCCTTTTGATATCCACGAGCAGGATCCACAAAGCCCCGTTAGCTCAGGAGACGATTCCTTCAGAGCAGAGGCTGCTGATGGTAATTTGTTTGCTGCTGGAGCAGGGAGTGAGCGGGATGTGCCACGGGATAAGCTGSTCCTGGGTTGTTCTGGAAGGCTGCCATGTCCACAGAGGCCATTCCCATCTGGTGCTGGGGGAAGGTGACACTGGTGACGCTCGGGAAGGGCTGCGGCAGAGCGGGGTCGGGGCCGGGGCTGTGGGGACACAACACCAACCAAACTGACAGGGGTCAGCTCTCTGCTGAGTACAGATACCCACAGATACCCACAACAACAAACTGCCATCCCAAAATCAGCTGGGAGCTCCCACAGTGCACAAATTGGAAAAGAACGGGACCAAAAACGGTTGTTTTGGAAGGTATTTAGTGTTTTGCTAGCTATAAAAATGCAGTTTTTAACAGGGGTCAGCTCTGTGCCAAGCACAGATACCCATAACAACAAACTCCCATCCCAAAACAACCTGGGAGCTCCCACAGTGCACAAACTGGGAAAGAAGGGACCAAAAATGGTCATTTGGGAAGGTATTTTGCGTTTTGCCCACTACAAAAATATAGTTTTTAATAGGGGTCAGCTCTCTGCCCAGCACAGATACCCACAACAACAAACTGCCATCCCAAAACAACCTGAGAGCTTCCACAGTGCACACATTGGGAAAGAACGGGACCAAAAACGGTCGTTTTGGAAGATATTTCGTGTTTTGTCCGCTAAAAAAAAATACAGTTTTTAACAGGGAGCTTCCACAGTGCACACTCTGGCAAAGAACGGGACCAAAAACGGTCATTTGGGAAGGTATTTCGTGTTTACAAAATACAGTTTTTAACAGGGGTCAGCTCTCTGCCCAGCACAGATACCCACAACAACAAAATCCCATCCCAAAACCACCTGGGAGCTTCCCCAGTGCACACATTGGAAAAGAAGGGACCAAAAATAATCATTTTCGAAGGTGTTTTGTGTTTTGCCAGCTACAAAAATACAGTTTTTAACAGGCATGCTCTCAGGTGAAATCAGATCTGGCCTTGCATTTTCCCTCCTGTTACTCCCCCYGTGCTAATAAACAGAATTTCCCAGGAATTCCATACTTCCCATGCCTCCAATGTAGCAGCTTTTTATGTTTCTCACAGGAAAAACATCTTCATCCTCAAAATCCTTCCAGCATCTCAATAATTCTACCACTTAATTTAACTCTTGCTTTTTAATTTCCTCTTCCTTTTTAATTTACTCTTTTAAATTTACTTTTCCCTTTCAATTTCCTCTTCCTTTTCAATTTCCTCTTCCTTTTTAATTTACTCTTCCTTTTTAGTTTACTTTTCCCTTTCAATTTACTCTTCCTTTTTAGTTTACTCCTCCTTTTTATTTACTCTTCCTTTCTAGTTTACTTTTCCCTTTCAATTTCCTCTTCCTTTTTAATTTACTCTTCCTTTTTAATTTACTCCTCCTTTTTATTTACTCTTCCTTTCTAGTTTACTTTTCCCTTTTAATTTCCTTTTCCTTTTTAATTTACTCTTCCTTTTTAATTCACTCTTCCTTTTAAACTTACTTTTTAACTCACTCTTAAACTTRCTCCTCCTATTTAATTTTTAATCTTTGCTGCTGCCTGGTTAAAGGTCAAAGGTTCCTTTTTAACCTTCCCCTCTTAAAAGTTTCCTGGGAAACCTCCTCATGCAGAATTTTGCCCAGAATAATGTTTTTATTTATCCCTAGCTTAGTAAAATCAGTATTTTTCTTTCTGGATGATGTGTCATTAAATAAAAATGCAATGAGAATGTGCCTGGGAAAAGGATTTTCTGGCTCCATACCTTAAATAAGCAGCTGGAGGTGGCTGAGTGGCTGCAGAGTTGATGTTTTGAGGCAGAGATCTCACCTGCTCCGGGGTCAGGCTGTACCCTGGGGCCATGGACACTCCCTGGAGCATGAAATTCCCACTGGGAGCCTGCACGGGATAGGACTGCAAAGAAAACCCAAAAGATTTGGGGTTTAGCACATTTTGGAATTACCCCATCGGAATATCCACGAGCAGAGCTCGAAAAGCCACGAGCTGAGCTCAAAAAGCCCATGAGCTGAGCTTAAAAACCCACGGGCAGAGCTCAAAAGCCCATGAGCTGAGCTTAAAAACCTCAAAAAGCCCATGAGCTGAGCTTAGAACCCCACGAGCTGAGCTTAAAAACCTCAAAAAGCCCATGAGCTGAGCTTAAAAACCCATGAGCTGAGC